ACTGCCAGAGGGCCAAATTGTAGAATACAAAAACGATTACAGTGATCTAATATTATTATGAAAATATTTCTGATTTTCATGATTTCATGGCAGATTTTGTCATGTTTTCTTCATGTTTCCAATTAGTTGATATGTAAAAAATTGACCTGAGGGCCACGTTGAGGGTTGATGGCGGCCGCATGTGGTCCCCGGGCCGCCGGTTGCCCACCCCTGATTTGACTGACCTCCTTGGATACAAGTCAACACATAACAGCGACAACCTGAGGCCGTTAAAGCAAATACAACCCACAGACGAACCAAATTAAACATTAATGTTACACCCATTGTTTTCTAGATTACTGTACTCATTGTGTCACTGGTGCTCATTGATGGTTTCTCTGGTTCTTCACTGATAAAAACCAGTCTGCGCCTCCACATAAAATAATGGCTGCTGCTGTATCAAAGTAACAGAGCAATAATAACAACAGCTGACCGAGATATCCAGCACAGTGAAGGGGGAGTGGAGTAACAGCTGGTCCATTAAACACTCTTTGAAACAACACATTTGAACAAATAATTACAGTATTGCTCGCGTTGTGGAAAACGTTGTGGTGTTAATGTTACACACAGCTAATAACGCTAGCATACGCTTCTGAGCTGCTGAGGCTAACTTAGCTACCTCACGAACGAGCAGCTCAATACGTCAGTCTTTTCTGCGAGCAAATATATTTAGATCATTGCATTTGTCAATTAAATACACCCGCATTCACGCTTACAGACAGACAAATTAAAAGGTCGGTTCTTACCTGGCTATTTTCGATCGATGTCCATTTTTGTTTTCATCGTCCTTCTCGTCTCAATTCACTGCTCTGGGTGTTGCGTTCACGTTTCTCTGGAAATGTCGCCGTCGCTCGTCGTTACAGTAACAAGTTGTTGGATGATTAATATTTACATTTGTCTGGCAAATCCGTCATTGAGAAGTCTCCCTTCGTCAGACGTATTTTATATTAATTAAAATACGTTAACAATGATTTATAAAACGTAATACAAAGTTTGTACGGTAGCCTACATCTAAAGTAGGCTATGTGATTTAGGCTGTTATGTTGTTCATCACAAAGACAAATTATATAATCAACAGAAATTGTAAGTGAGCGACATTAAAACGTTATTTATTTCTTGAATAAAAATATAGGCCTGCAGACCTTTTTGATTAAACAGCTTATTAAATAATAAAAAATATTAAACATTTGCTTGTTGTTTTTTGACATGACTTTTTGTGTGCCTGGTGGAGTAACCAAAACTCAAGTCCACAGCTTCCAAAAAAAATGCTATTGAAGAAAAAAAAATCAAATCACGAGGTTAGCCTGATACAAGATTTAATAGCCAAGATTTTTTTATTATTTCCAGCATAATTTGAGAGTTAAAATATGTGAAAAAATGCCTGAAAAACAGAGATTTCCAAAATGATACAAAGAAAGACAAAAGACTAGATCATATATAAAACAGTGCTGAGATGGCAGGAATGAGTGCCAAAAAATGATCAGAAGAAAGGGACAATCACATGACAGATATGTGACCAACTAAACAGAATATATTGAAATGACTGAGACTCAATCAGTAAAGGCTAAAGCTCTGTTTGAATGTTCAGGATGACAGAGAAGAGTCCTCTTCTCATAGGTCTACAACTTCTTCAGTTATCTTTTCAATTTATGGACATGCCAGCCACAGTCTCAAAGTAGCTCTACTTTTTGTGTGAATTGAATGAAAATAGCAACACATTGGTGACATTATTGCAGGGAGCCTACAGCGCTAGCTCATGTTGCTGTTACATTGTGAAAGCATTTAACTGGTTCCGGTTGCCTAGTGGTTAGTGCATCTGCCCCATGTACCAGAGGCAAAAGTCCTCCAAGTGGGTGGCCCGGGGTTGAATCCGACCTGTGGTTCCTTTCCTGCATGTCATTCCCCACCCTCCCCCTTCCTGTTTTCTGACTCTATCCACTGTCCTCCCTCTCAGTGAAAGGCCTAAAAAGCCCCAAAATACACATTAAAAAAAGAAAGCACTGAACTGATGTTGTCTTATCATCACTTTAAGAATGAGCCTAATGAGCACACAGTAACGTTTGTGTTTCCACTGCTTTGTCCAGTTGCCACAACATACCTCTACTGGTGTACCCTGTGAGTCCAACATTTTTCTGTAATATTTATCTCGAGGGATCATTTTTCTTGTCTTTTTTCTCTCAAATTTTGGATGGCCACTTTTCATTTCTTTCAGTTATTTTATAGACGAGACGGAAGAAAAAAAGGCTTAATTTATTTAAACATCACATGAATTTTTGAAGAATATCAAAAGCTCAGAACTAATGTGCACTGTCCCAATTTCAAATAAAGTTATAGAAATAATAGTTGGCTACCCTTAAAATATATATTTTTAAAAGCTTGCCAATTTGAGAATTGCCTTTTTTTTCAACTAAAATTAGCTTGCATATTTACTTGGGACTATTTTAAAACCCAACTACCTACCCCTATGTTCTGTGTTGCTTCGGCATGGCTCCTAGTTGTCTCTCCTTTTTTATTTTATGTTGGACTTCAGATGGATTTAGTTTTGAATTTGCACTTTCTGAAGTAAACTTTTGTTTTTGCCTTTTCTTAAATAAATTAGTTTGCTTTTTCTGCATGTGGGTCCTCCCCTTTGCTTTAAAACTTAGTGTGACAGAATGAATTGACCACAAAGGACCCATCTCATCTTATTTTGAGAATTTTCAATTTCCCTGGCCTGTGATTTGGTTTGCCCTATTCCCTGATTACCCTGGCAGGGGGAGACTTGGATTGCCATTGCTCAACACAATCTTAGGACTCTATATGTCCAAGGTCTTTTGTGGCCTTTTCAATGGACCTCGCCTTGGAGCCAGGCATCTCTACATTCTCCTCAGCTAGAGCAGCCCATGTACAAGCAAGCTTAAGCCCAACCAGCCGATGTGCCAGCCCAGGCCTCAGTTTCTGCGCCAAGTGTGCGTTTCTGTTCCGGCTGAACCCCTTCTGCCCCCTGTCCCTGCTGAGCATCTGTGCACTCCTGTTATCCAGTTTCAGAGTGGGGTGTCAACCCAGGTTCACTGTGAGTGGTCCGACCAACTCCTGGCTTTACCTGAGCGGTCCTGTCCACACCTGGTGGTACACACCTTGTATCGATGGTTTTATTTTATACAGTTGTTGCATTGATTGTCAAACCTGTGTGTTTTGGTTATTACATAGTTGTTTGAGCTTTCCTTGAATGTGAATCTACAAACACATTGTCTGAGCGGTATAGAAATTGGCTTAATTTAACCTGCACAGGTTTTTTTTTAATGTTTCAATGACTACTTTTGGATAAAGTTGTAATGAAAACACTTCCACATTATTACCTTTTTTAATTTGATATGGCAAATGTATTCCCAAAATGTTTCCTGTTTACACATTTAGCTAAAAACATGAAGTTTTGTTTTAATGTAGTGACTCTTGTCACCCAGCAAATCTAACAAATATTCACTCTCCTCGTAGCTTGGTTCCATCTCTAGAGAAAAATGTCTTTCTCTTTAGCCTCTTGATGATCCAGTGCTTCACTGTAGATGTCACTTGGAGGTTTTTAATTAAAAATAGCTGCAAGCTGATATAAAAAAAATATGCTAATGAGACAGTGACATTAAACAGTGAAGTTGTGGGATGCAAAACCAAAACAATGAGCTGAAGAATGCTTGAACCTACATTAAGGCTAAATCTGAGGCAAAACTGCAGAATCACATGGTATTTTTTTCTTTGACGATAAGTAACAAATTTTACATTACATCGTCTCATTTGACTATAATCTAAAAGGCTTTATTAAATGCAGACCCTGAGGAATATTTCTGTATGCTATTTTAATTTTCTCAAAAATATCACATATTTTCTAATAATGTTCTGGAACAATCTCTTTGTCTTGCATGTTAACTGTAGTTCACAATATCTTTTAGAATAACAAATTGCTTTTTTCTGTGATGTCCGCTCAATTATTCTTCAAAAAACAAACAAAACCCAACAACATTGTCTGTGAGTCTCTGAAAATGTTGAGTTGACTGAGCACAATGATTAACTGCTTTGTGTGTTAGCTAAACCAGAGTTAACTGAAATAGCCTCTTCAGGTAGGCTAAATAACAAATGTCACATTTGTTTTTGTTTTTTCACATTTGTATTTGCTTATCCCTCATTATGTTGAGTTGCACACTTTAAAAAAAGTGTGACTCCTGTAGGCAAAAAAAAGGAAAAGTTGATCTGAAAACGCTTCTTGTTAAAGTTTGAATTTGTGTACATGGCCTACGCGACATTAATAATAAACTGCACTACTTGTGGTTGATTTTAGAAATGACGTTTCCTAAATCATATTCGTGCTACACGTTTTTGTGTCCACCTGACCAGTGCTATGGGGGGGAAGTTAATGCAAACCCTGAATACTGTAAGACTCTAAATAACAAATAGAAACCATAACATTTATACTTTGAAAAAAACATCTATAACAATTATATTAAACCTAGCGCATAACTTAGGGTAGCAGTGACGTAACACACCCCCCCCCCCTCCCTCTCTTCGCATGCTGTGACGTCATATTCTGTTCCACGTAGTGACGCTATAGAGGCTACTGTGACGACTCTCGTTCCAGAACCGGACCAGTGTTTACAGAAGACTTTGACTGCTGGTCTCAGCTCTCTTTGCCCTGGTCTACTGAGAAGATAAGTCGCAATTTCTGACTCGAGAAAACACAAAAGTACTTCATCTACCTGTTTCGCTACAATGTCTCTGTAAGTACTGTTGTAGTGTTTGTCTTGCTTTATAACATTGAAGCTTAGACCAGTTCACCTGAAAGACAGTCAACTTTGAATCTCCTGTATTCTGTCAGTTTTGCTTTTGTCAAGTTTTCTGTAAAGTTTTCTCAGTAGAGTTGATTTTTATGTGTGTAATGAGGACTGTTACATGACTTGTGCACGAACATGCAAATGTCACTTTTCAGTAAAACTATGAAGAAACAGAGCCAAACTCCACCATCAATACCAGACACATCTAACTGGTATGGGATTACTCCTCCAATCAGTGAAGCTCTGCCTGAAGAGGCTGACTTGGTCCGGACCAAAAAATTGGTTGATGTGCTTAAATCATGTGGTATATTTGAGGATGACTTGGAGCTTCAGCACAGGTATGACACATGTCATTTTTTAAATAGTAAAAAACACATCTTAAAGGGGTAGTCATTTTTAAGATTGTTTCTGGGACTGGCCGTCTCTGATTTTGTGCCACTTATCTGGGTTTCTTTGCAGCAAAAAAGGGAAATATCTGAGAAATATGAATGCATTTTGACGACTAGAAGCTGAAAGGGCCATAGCATGCTTTGTTTTAAAAAATATGACCATGTTTTAAAAGTCTCTATATGTTTTAATTGCAGAGAGAACGTTGTCAAAAAACTGGAGTCCCTCTTTAAGGACTGGCTCAAAGAAATGTGTGAAAGCATGGTAAGACATCCTTTTGTTTAAAAACCTATTTTGTTGTTTCAATATATATATATTCAATAATGTTTGTGAAAAAATTTGGTTGCATGACTTTTTAACTACTTTTGGTGATTTTAGAACTTACCGGAAGTGGTAACAGCAAAGGTTGGAGGCAAGGTCTTCCCCTTTGGCTCCTATAATTTGGGAGCTCATACAAAAGGTATGTAACAGCTTCTTTCTCACACTTTAGGAGCATACTAGAAATAATGAAATGATACTAAATTGGGAAAAGTGATGTTCTACATGCTACTCAATTTTAACAAAGCCTTTGCATTCATGTGAGCCAGGCGCTGATATTGACGCCCTCTGTGTGGGTCCTGGATTTCTGGAGAGGAAGCAATTCTTCACCTCTTTCTACGAGAAGCTGAAAGCTCAGAAGGAGGCCAAAGACCTACGGGTATACCATATAAATAATTAAGTGCATGTAAGTCAAAAGACATATCCCTATTTGTGCATCAGTTTACTGACAGTATTGTTTTTTTTGCTTTAGGCTGTTGAAGAGGCATTTGTCCCAGTCATCAAACTTTCCTACGAGGGGATTGAGGTAAATGACACCCCCTACATTCTGCAGGATGCCTTAGCTAAAGTTTCATGAAAATGTTTTGAGTCGCTATTTTTGTATTTGTGTTATCTCTTAGATTGACTTAGTCTATGCCCGGGTGGCACAGAGGAGTGTTCCTCAAGATATAGACATCCTCAATGACAATTTTGTGAAGGGCATTGACATACATTGTGTCAGGAGTCTCAATGGTGAGTATCAGATGAAGACCCAGACACAATACTGAATCATTTTGTCTATTTGTGGTTAACCTTTTTTGCTGTGGCTATCTGTGATACTTTTTTTTTAATCATTCTTGGTTATTAGGCTACAGAGTTACAGAGGAGATCCTTAGAAACGTGCCAAACGTTTTTACTTTCCGGCTGGCTTTGAGAGCCATAAAGCTGTGGGCCAAACGTGAGTACACAGATTATTAACTTAAAGTCGTCCTAGTAATCAATAATTACAAACAATATCCAAATGTTATTTGATGTTGACCTAAGTAAATAGGTAATGATTTTAGATATCTAGAACAGCATACATACAATAAGGTTGTCAAAAGGTTCAGTACTTTTCAATACCATGTGTTTTAGAACAATACAATCTCTGTGATGTAATGATTGATAGTTTAATAAAAAGTACAAAAGCATTAAAACCCCCCAAAAGATCTTCAGCCATATTTTCATTAAAAGCTGTAGCAAAAGAGAGATGTGAAAGTGAGCAGCTGCTGTTCATTCTAATATACAGGTCGGCACATAGTGATGTTTCTCGAATCCTTCTGGTTTTAAAGTTACATTTAGGTCTCTTACAAACAGACTGACAGCAGAGAAGGTGACAGTGGAAGACACACTGTCTAAATTTCACAAGTACATTGGCAACATTTCGGTACCCAAACATTGCTAAAAGTATTTCTGCATTTTAAACAGTGTGCGGGAGTTTGCCTCCTATTTTTGGTCATTCACAAGAAATAAACCAATGTTTGGTGCTCAGGACTACTTCTTTTTTTGTTGCTGTTGTATTGAAATAGCTATTGTTTTTGATTGATTTTTACGATTATCATATTGAAGTTTAAAATTCTGTTATCATGACAACCCTAATGTACAACCTGAAATATGATGTGTTTCCACATGTTAAGTATAAAGTGACTGCACTATGTAATGTGAACTAAAAACTTACACAGTGTATTAAAACTGAACTGACTAGTGCACATCTAATACTTTTGTTCAAAGTCACACAACTCAGTTCAGTAATTAAATAAACTACACAACTGTCTTTGGAACAAAATAAGAACTTTAATCTCAATGTTCTAGTCATGATGGAGTTTATTGTTTATACTGGAGAAAAATGAAACAACCTTTATCCATTTTTATATATAGTTGTCCGTGTTTGAGTGTCTCCATTGATATCTTGTTTGTTTTGTCTACAGTATATCTGCATTACTGCCTAATTGCTTTTTTTAAATAAAAAGAACAAACAATGCACAGACTTACTTTATTTTAGCTTTATATCCTGTAAGTGCACAACAAATGTGTCTTTGTAGATTCATCTTATGAAATGTTAAGAGTACCTTCATGTGTAGGTCTCCTCTGAAACATGTTTATATCTGTAATCGAGCTTTGTCAAACCAACGTATGGATGTTACATGTTTGATGTTTTACATGCTTATTTCATATTTGTATTAATTCACCCCCAACTGAACACCTCTTCTTGGAAAAAAAGCAAAGTAGCAGAAAGAGGTCATGACAAAGTCAGCAGTGGGTTAAACATATCAGAGCAGCCCTTTGTTTAGATTAAGGAAACATGGTGAACTTGAGATTTTCAACCTTTTTCTGCTCCTCTTGTAACTCTTCAGGGCGTAACATTTACTCCAACATGCTTGGCTTCCTGGGAGGCGTCTCATGGGCCATACTGGTGGCTAGAATTAGCCAGGCCTATCCAAATGCTTCAGCATCCACCCTGGTGACCAAATTTTTCAAGGTCTACAATATGTGGTAAGTCATCCCATTTCTGGTGTCTCCTTTAAGAAGAAAAAAACATTAATGTACTAAAGGACACTCTGTAGGGTAAGGCTGGGTGACAGTTCTGCATGTAAATCTTTGGCTTAAAATGCAATGGATAAAAGAAGAATGTTGTGCTTTCTGTCAGGGAGTGGCCAATCCCGATTATGCTGAAGAGAATAGTGGATCAGGGCTTTCAGCTCCCTGTGTGGAATCCAAGGGTAAGTCCTCATGATGTCAATAATTATATTGTCAAATTTACCCAAAGACAACAGGTGAGCTCAAAATATTGTCTTCATCTGCATTTCCAGGTGAATCGAGCTGACCGTGCCCACCTGATGCCCGTCATCACCCCATCATACCCACAGCAGAACTCCACCTGCAACGTGACTCGCTCCACCTTAGCTATCATACAGGAGGAGATAAAGAGAGGTATGGAGTCACTCAGATGATTTTCTCCCCCCTTTTCTCTAAGTGAAAAACACTTGGTCACAATCATAACTTCCACAAATCTGATTTTATTTGTGATTAAGCTGCCAAACTATGTCAAACTCATAACTTCTGAAATGCTACAAGAATCTTGTATACAACATACACAGGCTTAAAAAAAGTTTTTATTCCTCTTTCACAGGACACACGATCACTGAAGAGATCCTGCAAAACAAAGAAAACTGGTCTAAACTGTTTGAAACTTCAGACTTTTTGGAGCAGTACAAGTATGTATTATTTAGTCCAATCTGGAAAATGAGTTATACATGTATGAAATACTCTCAAATTTGCACTGCTTTCTAAAATATGGACATTATAGCCTTTATTGTAAATGTTAATTCATTTGATTATGCTCCAAGAAATTGATGTCTGTTAGAAAAGATTTAGTTCAAGCTTCAGATATGAAGTAATTTTGTTTTCTTATTGTTGTACTTGGCTGTAAAAAAAAGTCTGAAAACCCTGTAAAAATGTTCTGAATGAGTTTGAACAGATTGTACTTTTGTGCATGGATATCAAAGTGAATTCTGTGATTTGTTGCTTTATATAAACTGGTGGAAAACACGTTTACATGATGGTACTGATACAGTTTTGATGATAATCATTGAAAATGTTTTCTGCCTTACGTGTGTTTTTGAAGGCCTCTGCTTGTTGTGTAATTAATGTGCAAAAGCAATCTTTTATTTTTGTGCCATTACTATCGGTGGAATGGTTTATTGTGTGACTGCCTTGAATTTGTACTTTAATTGTCAAACAGTTTGAATGGAGTATGACTTTTTGTCAGTTTGTCTCTGTTTGGATTTATGATTTTTTTCTTTTTTTAAAAAACTCCAGACCTATGTTTGTACAAAACTGTAACCGTTCACTTCCACTGATGAATGACATTGATGGTTGGATGTTTGAATTAGTGGTTTTAATGTGTGCTGTCTGACTTAAATTTGTTGTTCTGGACCTTGTTGGAGTATCTGTAATTATTATATTGTTGTGATTAAATAAACCTGCTGTGTGTTCGGATCTCTTTTGTACTGACTTGAATCAGCTGAGTTTATCAGCTGATTTTCTAACACATAACAACTTGTTAGCTATCCTAGGGTCAGAACAGGCAGTCTGTGTTTTACAGTATGGCTAATGATGTAGTTACAAGCATGAGGAAGACGTGTTTCAGATAGTCAGCACTCTTTTACAGCTTCTATGCTTTTTTTTAAATCATATGTTGAGATACAACAAAAACAGATTCACAGCATAGGAAGTCAGCAAGGTTTTGACTTTAAATCAGTAAGGGTATAATGAATGAAAGTGTTCATCTTTTTAAAGTAATGCTACTTTACTGCAGTGTGCCTGCTTGGAGTATGAATCATACATTCCTTCAATAATCAGTAAAACTAAGTATGATGAATAAAATGAGCCCCAGCCTTGTGCCGTCTGCTGCCATTGTTTTGTCTCTTTATTTTTCAAGGCATTACGTTATGCTGGAACTAACTTCAGCTACAAAGGAGCAGCATCTAGAATGGTGAGTACACAGAGTGAAACTGGAACAAATGTAGACATTTTTGTAGACGATCTCACATCTTTGGGCGAGAGCACTTCTTATTCATGCCTGTGGTAGTCTCTTTGAGGGAGAAAACAGTTTTAATATTTTATTTCCAGCTCCTGTGCTGCTTTTGTCTTTCTGAACATAATGTTTTGTTCACTTCATCAGGGTCGGCCTGTTGGAGTCTAAAATCAGACACCTGGTGGGAAACCTGGAGAGGAATGAGCTTGTTTCTCTGGCCCACGTTAACCTGCAGTCATTCCCTGGACCCCAAAATAGTGATGGACAGTAAGGACACATGATCTTGTGAATATATTTTAATTTTGGCCAGAGGCTTCTTTGAGAAGCCAAAAGTGGAAATATCTTTAATATTGGTCTTTGCCTATTTTTATTCATATGCTGCACATTAACTGTCAGGCTGCTGTAAAACGTACTGATGGTCGTCATGGTAATCAAAAGGTATCTTTTAGTGTGTCTTACCTGTCAGCTCATTGGTCTGTATTTCTAACTGTTTCAGAAGCTCCACATTTTGGCTGATTGGACTCGTCTTTGATATGGACGTGTATTTATACAAAAAAGTAGACCTAAGTGTTGAGCTCCAGTCCTTCAAAACTCATGGTATGTTTTTAAAAATGTTTCTTTAAAAATTCAGGTAAAAATCAAGCAGTGATGTTGTAATTAACCTTTTAATCTGTGTTGCTGCAGTCTGCAGCCTGGCAGAGAGCTATGAGATGTCTGACAACGGGGTGACCATATCAGCCAAATATATACTGAGGGAAAACCAAAGCTGGACGATACCTGATGAGAGCAAAAGGGTTTTCAAAAAAGCCAAGCCCGGAGTGAGCTCCCAGATTTCAGCACCTTACAGAACAGGTCAAACGGCCACGACAGGCTGCCCTCAACCTCTGAAGCCAGCAAAGAAGACTAAAGCTGGCAAGGTATGCCAATCCGTGCTTTGTTGATTAGCACATGCTGTTTAAATAATTCGTTCACCTTTTGTAGTGATACACGCATTCGCTATGGCAAGATTGAAATGAAATAGACAGAGCTGATATTATTAAAGCCATACATGAAACCACAGCTTTCTACATAAGAGTATCCTTTTATCCTATTAAATATTTAGTATGTATAAGACTTATAATTTTTGGTTCATTCCTGGCCGGATGCTTCACATTGACTGATCAAGAATTACTCTGGTATCAGGATAACACGATACATCCAAATGAGACACTTTAACACCCTTTGATTTTTATGGATTCCAACATAAAAATGGATTATCCCTGCACAAAGTGAGGACTAGCTGTTTCCTTGCTCTAAGTCTTTTAAAAAAAAAATCTAAACTACACTGATCGAAGCCAAAAAGCCAACAAGAGAATTTCTGTAGAAATATAACATACAAAGATCTTGTGGTAAGACCTACATGTCCCTTGTGCTAATTGTTACGAAAACAACCTAACGTTTTTTTCTTGTTTGCTGTAGGAACCAGTTTCTGTGACAAGCAGCCCATGTGTGCTACCCTCCGTGGTACCACAGGGCATAAAGAGACCTCTTTGTCATCAGCCGGACACTTCATCTAAGAAGTTGAAAGTCGATGAGCAATCCCAAAGCACCTGTTCTGAGTCCTCTCCAGGTGTTATGCACAAAGAGGCCATTAATGCACATGAGGCAAACCCTGGTCCTTCTCAAAGCACCAAGAGACCTCGCACTTCTGAGCCTGAGTCACCAAGCAAGAAATACAAACCTAACCTGGTAGGCAAAACTGTCTTTCCATAGTTGACCTGTTTACTGTGAAAACTCAATTCAACCTCTCAGCATGTAATCGATGTATTGAGTCATAAGATCCACTGCTTACAAAGGATGCTTCGATTTGTCCTTCTCAGATGGTCCCTGATAACGATCTGTCCGACCTGCCTCCCAGCCTCTCCAGACCTATTGCAGTGGCAAAACGCTCCATCAAATTTAAACTTGTCAGGTACAGCAACGATTCATCGATGGAAACATGCTCCCTTTCTGCTTACATTTTCCTCTCTCATGTCTTGTTATGTGCCCCATATAACAGACATCCTCACATACAAAATTAATGGTTTGATTTAATGATAATAGAGCGCCACCGTTGTTTTACTTTTGAGCCACTAGAGGGCAGTGAAGCCTTTCTGCTGGCCTTTTCCTGAACTGTAGCAAAGGGACAGACACGCTGTGTTCAGACAAGTCAGTTTGTGACAGCAGCCCTGATTCAGATGAGAGTTAAGGGAGCGTCTTTACTCTCAGTTATCTCTCTATAAATGGTTTTAACAGGAAGAAAACAAGTATTTTTTTATGCTTGCACTTAATTCATTGATTTGCACTTCAGATAACAAAGTGCTGATTAATGATTGTATGATTCATTTGTGAGAATAATCTGTCATGTTGTGTTCATAAAAATAAGTATTCTTTCTATTTTCCCTCGTGTTGTTTGATCATCTTCAGTGAAGTGCTGTACCCAGAAGATACGTTTTTTTTTTGTTACACTTGACCTCTGTGAGCTCATCACAGAGTGATGCTTTGAAGTCATCTGTAGACTTTGATTAATTGTAATAAAGGACAGGGAGAAACAAACATCACTCTTTATCAACCATAATTGTTTTTAGGACAATTTTGAATGAAGAGGATAATAGCAAGTGTGCTTAAGATTTGAGTACCGCAAAAAAAAAGAAGAAAAAAATCACTCTCAATCTAGCGCCATCAAACACACAAACTGTATAACTGGATAGAACTGGTGCATTAAACCTGGCTTTACTTCACACAGTCATTCATCGCATATTAACAATAACATCCTCAGTTGGAGTTTTATATCGTCACATGATTATTAACGAGATTTCCACTGTTTTTGGATTTTTTTTTTTTCTTCATTTCTGAGACTCAGTAATCCCACGATGCATTTCTTGGCCAGTGCTCAACAATTAATTACATGAAATGGGCATCAGACTTCTTTAATGCACCTGAGCCATCAGTTTTCTCATCAAGTGATAATGTGAAATGGTTTCTGAGTGCTAGAGGGAGAACAGCAGTTTGGTTGACCACTGCTTGACCTTTAATTTAGGCCCCTATTGAACAGTCTATTTGAATCTGTCCTGTACAATTAAAGAGCTATGAAACTGTCATTTTCTCAGAGAAGAACTTTCCTTGCAAAATAAATAAATGATATGACTAGTAATAATTCAAAACATTTAAACAGACATAGTCCTAAAAAAAAGGTCGAGATGTGTTTCATCAACACACCACGGTCTTGCTCCGCTCTTTATTGTTTTCTTGTTGAAATGCAGAATGTGTATCATTAGTTGAGGGATTTGTGCCAGACGAGACACCCAGATACTCAGCCATAGGGAGCAGACTCATAACATGGCCTAGTTAAAGGTTTTCTGTTGTTTGCATCCCAATCCGGTCAAAATTTCCCAAGATGAGGCTTGTAAGAGCGTGTATGTTGTTGCTTAGGAACAGTTTTTCTTGTGCCCCCGGTAGGTGGTCTCTTTATGAATATCATTACATATCTCCATTTAGGGTAGGAAAGACATCTTTATCCCTTGCATGTTTATCACTATTTTCAATCCTAAATCTGGGAGGGATGTTAATGCTCTGTGTAGTTTTAATTAGTTGTATTGTGATGCAAAGTAACAGTTGACGTTAAGGAGTACACGTATAAGGAGACAAACTATGTTTTGAAACTTCAATATAGTTCTCCAATTAGTCAAAAACTCATTGGAAAAGCAAGACTTCTTTTTACCAGGGCAGCAACTGCATACTTAAATTTGTGTCTAATTAATCATGGACAACATTAGGACTTCATCCAGAGGTGTATCCGCAGGAGGTCCAGTCCAGGGTAAGGGGCTCCCCTGTAGTTGTGGCCCCTTCTTCCTCCCGCCGCGTGCACTCTGTGTGGGGCACAGGCTCAGGGCACGGCCCCCTGTCGTCCTGCTGGGCCTCCATCTGCTGCCGAGGTGGTTAGGTCCCCGGATTGATGGCGAGACAATGAGTTTATGACATGTGTCGCCGTGAGTGACAGAGGGTCCCGTCCCAACTGGGCCTCCTGACGACCACGGGTCTCACATTTGTATTCGGCACTATGCCAAGGCTAATGGGAGGAGTGATCCTCCTGCTGTGGGATGGGATTTGTAGTTTACAGCTGGCTGGTAATTCAGGACAAGGAGCAAATCTCTCTGGCTGCTGCTGTAAGACTCTTTGGTGTCACGTTAGCAAGTTTTACATTATGTTGCTAAATCTGAAGGGACAATAATGTACTGTAACAGCATGTGCAGGTATCCTACCAACCTATTACTAGTGCTTTTTCTGAGAGACTTCTAAACTGGTCTCTGAAGTTCCCCTGTTGACCCAGCAGTGCTCCTTTCACACGCCTGTCAACATGCTGTTTCTTTCCACTTTGGTGGGTCCAAGTTAAAACGAAATCACTTCCTTCATCTCCCCCTCCTCTCCTCCTCGCCCAAAAAAACAGAATGATAAAAGCTGGAGTTTCACATGTGAGAAACTGCAACAATGCTACTGTACCTTCAAAGGGGGAGATGGCACATTGTGAGATGACAGGGTGTTGATATGAAAGTGTTATCTCCTTCCCGGGTGAGATCAGAGGAGGCCCGGTGGATGCGAATGTTATGTTGCTGTGAGTGATCTGACCAGCGTGGTGGAGGAGAGGTGTCATGGTCGACAGACTGAATAAGATGTGTGTGTGTGTGTATGTGTGTCAGTTTTTCCTCAAAGGAATTCGGCATGTTACCGGTGGAAAAAAGCCAACAATTGTTTTCTGATTATCTGATTGTGTTTAAAGGACAGATACTTACAACACTTAAAGATGGTTTTAACAGCAAACGTTATAAAATAATTGTTTTAGAGACAATCTTGGTATACAGTAATTACCAACAGTTAAACTTTTTTTATTTTTTTTTTACACAGCTTTTCTTTTATATGTTCATAAATAAGCTAGAAATTGACAGTTTGATGATCCTTTACAGCCACCTAATGAACTTGTAAGTCTAACCATCAATATTTCTTTTATCTCTTACAGCGGGCGCACCTGATGGAGCTCCTGACCAGGAGGGGGAAACAACATCTTCACCCTCCTTCAATACATTTTGTTTGATTTAAATGTTCTTTCCTTGCTGATATTGTTTATTTCTTTCTTTATTTCTTTCTTAATGTAACCGGCTTAATAAAATTCCAAGCATTGCAAATATATTGTCGTATTGTTTCTGTAATAAAACACAAGAGGAATGTCATCCTCTCTTGAGGAAATCTTGGCAAACTTATTCTATTAACAGAAAGCTTCAAATGTATGATTTCTTATCCTGCAGGGTTTAAAAAGGGGGTTAAACAGATTTACATTTCAGCAAAACCACATTTGGTTTGCTCATATGCAGATTTGATTGGATTTTTAATATCAGTGTAACTCAGCTGTTGTAATCATTCATCAGCACAATCATATTTTCATATCCCTATACAATACTGTATGTGATTTTCAATTCATAACCTTCAAAAACGTCAAGAAAGCAACTAAAACACTTCAAAAAGATAAAAGCTGACATCAGCTGATCAAGGCAAATAAATGTGTTTTACTCTTTAATCTTATAAGTAAACTTGATTAGTACCTGGCCTGCAGTTTCACTTAAGCAATGTGAGTCCCAGTCATCCAAATAACACTTCTTACTATGTTGCTATCTGGCAGCAAGATGGTCCCTGAACAGGTTTTTTTGCCAAGTCGGCAAAGTATTTTAGGGAGATGTAAGAAAAATGGGCTGGCCTGAATGTCAATCTATCAATATTGACCAGATGGACTTGGTAATTGGACTTGAGCTTCTATAGCGCTTTTCAAGTCTTTTGAAAGCACTTCATACACTGATGATGAACCAGCGGGAGCAACTCAGGGTTGGGTGTCTTGCCTTAGGACACATTGGACATGTGGCTGCAGGAGCTGGGGATTGAACCCCTGACCTTCAGGTTGAGAAATGACCAACTCTACCAACTGAGCCACAGCTGCCCGCCCAAACTAATAGAGTGAAGCCATGAAGAAAAGAGAAGAAACACAGAAAGAGAAAACACACAAGACTCATCAAAGATAACAGTATAGGAGTTTTAACTACATGAAACTAAAATATCAGCTTCAACTTTATTTGTCCCGGAAGGGCAATTGGTTTTAGCTAATGATTGTGAAGCTAAAAATGCAGGGCATACATAAAATGATGTAAGCTAAGTCAAAGGCTGCCGCTGGGATTAAAGAGGTTTTGCATTACTTATAAGGCTATGACAGTTTCATGTTTTCCAGGATTGGAAGAAAACTGTTATTGTTTGGTTATGAATAGGAACACTGATTTAAAAGGAGTGAATTGGTAACAGCTTACAATGGAGATATAGAACAAAAGAACTGCTATGATTTATCTTTATGGTTGTTACAGTAGTCAATAAGTTTGTGGTATCAGAAACAAACTTCTAACTTGCTTAATTTTGGATACATTAGTGTCACAAACACCATAGATAGATCATATCCCCATTATGTTGTCAAGGTTTTAATAACCTGATTAAAAGTAAAACACCAAACATTGAGGGTTTGAGTGGTCACCTGTGAATGGTCAAGATGAGTGAATGAAAAAGTTGAATTTTAAAGCATCATTTAGCACAAAGTATTCACTGGATTAGAGTTTCTAATAGGTTTGAACTCAACATTAAATGGTCTCTGCAGTAGTAGCAGGTAAATGTGGCCCATTTCTTCCTCCTCACTGAGGTTGCAATCAGCCAACTTGGCCACTGTGTTAAAAACAAAGATAGCCAAATAAGCTTTAGCAAAATTAAATCAGTATTTGGAGTCAATGTCGAGCACTCAGAAGTGAAAGCAAAAAAAATGTCAACTGAGAGCAGAAGCAGTGAACCCGCTGAAATGCTCCCAATTTGAAATCATCCGACAGGATGTAAGCGAGGCCTACGGACAGCATAAGCACGACATGGAGGAGCACCTGTTACCGGATGGCACCCTGCCACCGCTCCCTGTCTGCCTGCTGTGGAGGCTCGCTACCCACTGATGAGGAATTAGAAAGTCATTAAGGAACACAAATAGCAGGATGGCACAGTCGCAACCAACTCCAGACTTAATTTGTGTCTTCATTTATAGACTCGTGGGGAAAAAACAAACTTTTTTTTCTGCTCATAATGATTATATTTACTTTTCATATTCAGAATCTCTCTTCTTTCATTAAAGCGTGCCTTTGTGATCATTCTCATGAGTGCAAGCAAAGATGTAAAAAGTTAAGTTTTGTTTGTTCTTTGAAAGGTCAGTATTTCTCCGATGTTTGTTTACAATAGATGCCAATATTAAAGTAATTGCTAGATGTATCATTTTCCTTGGTTTGTTAAATAACAACAGCATATAGCTGGCTGAAGTCTTTCAGATTATCACACACAAATTATATACCTGCAGTATTCCAGGGTCTCAGAAGGAGGGTCCTCATTACTCAGTAAACTATTTAAGACATAGACTGAAGGAAGAATAGGTTAACAAGCTGCATTCTCTTCCTCCCTGCTCTCTACATGAGTTCTCTGTAGTGGACTATACAGTGAACTAAATAAATAATAATATAAATAATAATAATAAATAAAATAATGAAACATATTTTAGCAACTCAACTCATATATTTGTGAAGACAGACTTTGCTCTCGTGCACATTATAGGAAAAACTAACATTTCCCTGTCAAAAATCCTTTACTCTCTCTGAAACAGCTTCTAGATTTCAGGAAAAAATTATGCCTAAATGAACTTTTCATGTGTTTCTGTGTTCCTTGTTCACGCTGGTCAAGCTCCTCTCATTCATCTGTCATGGATCAGAGCAGTCAAAAGTCACTCTCCACTCGCCAAAGCTTTTCACCGCAATGCATGATGGTATATATTGCTTGGTTAGGCCATCTGTTGAACACCATTGCATTACGGGCTACAATGTGTCCTCTATATGGGGTATGATATTGCTCACTCATAATTCGGATAACACTACAAAATGATGGATGCCCTTTACAGCACACCGTAAAGTGATTTGGGGTTCAGCATGTACAGTCATGTGAGCAGCCCTGTAAGGCTAGGCTAGGACACAGCAGTGTGTTGAGCTGAATGCTATTGTCAGACTGACAGCTTACAAACACAAAGTGTAGCAGTAAGAATGAGAGTTTGTTTTGGAGTAATTACATTCAATAAATTTTACCTGCTTATAGCACTGGAAGTAAAGTAAGGGGAAAAAAAACACACTTTATTGTAGAGAACGTGAATCCGCTCTAAATAACACTTTACTACATTCCTCACTGGGACATGTCAGGTGAGCAAGACCAAATAAACCTAGATAGAAAAAACACCTCAATACATATCTGTTGGTTTTATCCGCTTGGATTTAGATTTGGTTAAGGTCCAGTTTTTTCAGGATGCTATTGGTGTAAAAACCTGCTTGGTTTTGCTACAGTAGTAGTTCAAGTACCTTAATAACTCTGTTTGGCTGCCACACAGAAAAGCACAGCTGTAATGAGCAACATTAAAAACAACTGAATACTGTTAATAAGTTATCCACAAAGATCCTGTTTATTTAAATGATTATCATTGAGCTAACTTACTTTGACACGGAACTGAGATGTTGTTAAACAAGTTTATTTTAGCTTGCTTTTCTCAAATTACCATTCATAGAGCCAACGAGCTAGGATGACTAAAAAATGTATGCTTTCATGTCTTTAATACGACCAATTTGTGCTATCGATACCGACTACTTTACTTTGGTCCTGTGGAATATGCACTACTGTTTCCCTGTTGCCATCTGTCTGGAGCTCACTGGTCACACTTCTCCTGTACGAGTGCTTGTGGTACCTAATTAAAGGCTTCAAATGAATTTGCAAATTAAGTTTTTCAGTTGTCCCCACAGCTGGTAGGGCTGGCAGCACTGACTGCTGAGGTTCAACAGAAGGGCAACGAGGCCT